TATATAAATAATCATATTCATATACACATACACATACAAATATACATATATAAACATACGTCGATACTAATTTGTTTATATTATTTATATGTATATACTGATATATACGGGATTGTCGGCTCTGAAGTGATGACACTATTTTTATTGCACGATCTTGTGAACCCGCCATTTTATATTGTACAAACTTCTTTATTCTTCTTTTTAATACCGATATGACTTGGATCGAGCAGACTCGTGTGCCAGGGTAGAGGCGCTCATGTCGGAGGTGATCAAAGCCGCGAAGAGTATCGACAACATTGACATGCCGGAAGGATTTCTGCAAGACATGATTGCGAGCGCCAAGGGTATGGCATCGTACGCGCCAAGTATGAAGGCGGACTATGATGCCAACCGACCCATGGAGATCGAGGCCATCTACGCGAACGTCCTGCGAGAAGCGCAAAGGGCGGGGTGTAGACTGCCAGAGATTATGAGAGTATACGAAGGTTTGTGCGCACTCGAGAATAAGCCGGCGGAACAGGTGGAATAAACTACTGAGGCATACACTGTGCTCCTGTACTTGCCTGGGCAACTTAAGAATGCACGAATGGATAGTGTTAAAGTCTGGACTGTATGGACGAAGACTATACTCAAAATAGAAATGGATTTATACGATCATAGTAAGCATCTGTGTGTATTAGAATGATGGGAGCTTAAGTTATACATTTGGAGAACATAATCATTTTTTGAAATGTATATTAAAGAATAAAAGCACTTCAACATGTAGCATTGAACATGATTATAAGGCGCAAGCACTTATAGGGGATACACATGACGATGTGTTCCTGAGTATCTTACACTTCACATAGGCACTATAATTTGACAATCGTTTAACCATTCTCATTTACCAAAAAACAGGCGAAACCGGTTCTGAGTTTGTTGTTTTCTGAGACCGTTTTACACAGCACAGTGAATATATGTTTATGATGCGTACCTGTAAATAAGCTGTCTGAAGCCGAGCGCATATTTTTATCTATTGTATATCGATGTTATAGAGATTCGCACACAATCAAGCATACTCTTCCTCAAGTCTACTTTCTCGCTTCCACTACATATCTGACTACAAGTACCGGTCCCCTCATGTCAGATATGCCAATTCTTTGCGCAATATCTTATAGATATATGCGCATGGCTGAAGATACGGAATACACGGGCCCTTTGACATTTGTATTGCCAGTCATGCTAGATGGGTTTATTCGGGAGAAGAGACAGTCATATACCGGGACTATTATCTACCAAACATTATCTCCTAAAATTTAAGGAGGCCTTGTATCGAAGATCTAGGCCTCATTAATGTCTTACTATCATTAGGAAGAATCGAAGCTGGTGCCGGGTATCCTTCGGCTTTTACCACCTCTCTACTCGATAACATAAAAAAAATCTTAAAAATAGGTAATCCACAAGACAAATGTAGTTCAACTATTGCTTTTGTTGTCCGCCTGAATCGTCGGCATGGGCTACGGGTTCACATTGACAACACAGATAAGATCGGGTGTAGTACATTTCCAACGTTCCCCGCTAGCACCGCTTCGAATTGCCCTGGTACTTCGCTGCACATACGGTACGGCGAGTATCGCCCAGAAAATGCACACAATAATATATAAGGAAGCCGATAGGGATGCTGGTGGGGGCAAGTACACAGGATAACTACTCAGCAGGGGCACAACATAGTCGCAACGGGTGGCTTGTGTAGCCGCGGAGGTAGCAGAGTTCTCAGGATATGTGCATGCGTAGGGAGACAAGAAGTAGCACCCCGCGCGAAGCCCCGATAGTAACAGAATACTGTGTGGCCCACGGTCCTCTGGATACAACCCCATTCCCTCCAGGTCATACTTGCGCTGATTGACGGTAGCGAGCTTAGTAGGACTGGTACCAGCGCCACAAATACAGCAATTCCTAACATCAGCACAAGTTCATTTAGCAGGTTCATGGTTCTGTCGGGCTGCTCCACATTCGCATTACCGAAAGGCACAAGAAAACCGTAGGCACCGGTCAAAATGAACGCAGTGAATATGATATGTAATACAACTAGGAAAGCGGCCGTTAGACCCAGTTGTTTGCGGATTTGGAGCCAACTGGACAACCAGGATGGGAAAAGAATTCTTGCCGATCGCTTGTAGAGTTGTAAAAAAATGGCAAGCTTGCCCGGCAGATATGTGGCAGCTAGCAATACGAGTGCTGTGTTCCCAAGAGTTTTGTTTACTACGATTGTCGGCTGGCTACGATCATAGGCCGGATATCCGAAAGCTGGTAAATCAAGGACCATATACCAAATAAAGCAATATACGGCGAAAAAACAGAAGAGCGCACTTGTAACGATGGCGCACACTAATGCCCCTATATTGAATGGTCTTAATCCAACAGTATTTCCGATCGAAATTGCTGCGTCCTTTGTATACTTACTATCACTGCACACTGGTGTTGTATCTGAACATCTTTTCAAGGAGGCACCTTGACCTATTGCATAGGCTGAAAGTGTATTGAAAGCCTTCACTACACTCACAATTGCGGTTTCGCCATCAGTGTTGATATCATTGGTGACTAAGCCATATTGCAACCTCTCTGTTATGCTGGTTTCTTGGTATTTCTCGCTACCGTTACTGGTGTCGACAAGAACGAGTGCCCTTCCACTTGAAGCTAGTTTTTCGTTTCCTCGTTTTCTTAACGATTGGGCATTCCCGGCAATGAAACTCGCTTGGGCTTTATAAGGTATAGAAAGTACAAGTACATCTGCAGTGGCGATCGCTAAGCTCAAGTTCACAACACAGGATTGCACGTTACCATTCTCCATAAGATTCCTTGTTACAGACGAGTCTGGATGGATCAATACAACTGGACCGCTCAATGTCAAGTACGAACACCAATGATGACATCAACACCACGCCGTAGTAGAGCATCAAACATTGCAACACCGGGTGGCCCACGACCGATAACCGCTACGCGCCCCAATGAATTTGTGTGGTCAGCCGAATCATCGTCAATTATATTGATCATCTCGATAAAAATTGAAATATGTGAGGTTATATGAAAGATAAGTACGATTATAACTGCAGACAGCACGCCGCTCGTGACATTTTTTGAAAGGCCGCACTAGTACCACCGATTCGCCTCTCGACACTTCGACAATCGTCCAAAACTTTATTTATTACTATTATTGTATTAATAGTCTTCATACTCCTTGGCCTTCTAAATAAATTAAGAATAGACATTAGACGTGCTAGTGATTAGCTAATAAGAATGCACGGATCAGTGATTGTGTTCGATGTATGCTAAATGCACTATGCTCAGAGCAATTTAAAAATATCTGGACTTGGAGAAGGGAATCTGTGGGATATTTGGACTTCTTGTGAGTTCTATGTATTTAGTTTTCTCATTCTGACGCCCGAATTGCGAGTTGTATTTTTCTTTTTTTACTAAATAAATAAAAAAAGAGCCATAAAATAAACTCTATGAGTCGTGAGAGACCGTGAGCGTGAGTGCTATGAAACGTCAAAAAGTTTAGCGTTTTATTTAAAACCGTTTATAATTTAAAAAAGTAACAGTTAACGTTCAACTTTTATATCATATTTATATTCAACAACTCGATATTGATTTTAAAATAGATGCAGTTTTCTAGGTCATATATTATTTCATTGCAAATATAGTCCATTTCATTGCATATAGGTGTAATTCTGAAGTGTAAAATTCACGATTTGGACCGATTTTAATATAAAGGCTACCGTTTATAAATTTTATAAATAAGGACGGTTAACGTTCAACTTATATCGCGTATAACTTATTTAGTTTTGCGACTGCGAGTTTATATAGTGTGAGACTCAGTGAGTAAGCAACAAATGTGATAAAATAGGATATGTTTTTTAGAAAACAAACCAGAAAAACAGATCTTGTCTCACTGTTGGCTGTTGGCTGTCATTTAACTCATTATGTACTCATTTGTTCTTTGTTTGATAAGTCAAAAGGAAAAATGAAAAACAAAAAAGATCTATAGAAGTATACATAAATATATACAAATACTAAAATGAAATGTCTTTATACGGCACTGGTGACAATAAAATTGTTAACCACCTCAGGCCCAGTTTCCTATCAGTCTCATACTTCCACTTTTTCGAGTTCACTTTGCTTTTAAGATGTATTAGCGTGATTTTAGCCCATTTATTGCACTTGTTGTATTAGTTCTTTGTCGGCCTCAGAGGTGAGGTCGACGTATGTTCGACACGAATAGTGTCAACTGTAAAACTATGGGCGAATCCGAGGGTGAATCCGAAGCAATAGCTAAGACAGAGGACGCCTATATACATATGTCTAACTGCTATCATATGTCAAGCCTTAAGACTGACAAGGACCTAACATAAATGCAACAAATGGGTTGTATCTGCGCTACAATATCTAACATTTAAGTCGAGCGCTTTCAGCCGACAGATATAAACAAACTAACCGGCAGAAAACAAACACTTCTCACTGTAGTGTTCTGCTTAAAATCACGCTATTTACATTAATACACATATTTAAGCAAATTAAACTCGAGAAAGTATGAGACTGGTAGAAAACTGGGCCTGAGGTGGTTAATAATTTTATTGTCACCAGTGCCGTATAAAGACATTCGGTTTGTTCTACTTTGTTTTTAAAAAATACTGATATCTACAAGTTTCATATTTGTTTGGTTTGGTTGAAAGACCATCTTATTTTTGCCAGGACGAAACTCGAAAGACTTATTTTATGATTTAATCCGGACGTCCATTAGAATTCCGGACAAGATGAGTAGGGAATGGAACAATGATGGTCTGGGTCAATTTGTATTTTTACCAATCGTATTATGAATTATGAAAATAAAGGGACAACATTGGACAAGTGGACATTTGAAGTTGATTGTTTTAAAAAATAATTGAAAACATCGATGCAAAAAAAGAGTCCAGACGTGTGGATTTTTACAACAGTTAATATTTGAATTTTTGGACCACTCGAACTCGTATTGTTCGCATATTTAGAAAAATAATAAGAAGTAAGTTCTTGATGATCTGATCTACAATAGATGTAAATATTTACAATTGATTACAGTACAGTCATACCTCTTTATATGTCCAGTTCCCGGGATTGGCAAATATTTGGACATATAAAGAGATAAGACAAGTCTGGGTCAGTTTCATACCATCAGGTTCGGGGTCCAACCTATGGGAATGGGTCGCACCAGGTATTCTAGGCGCTCTCATTAAATACTCCTTCCCTTTCGTGACGATCACGACTTGCACTAAAACCAGCTTCTCTACCCTTATTTACCGACCCACTCTGTCAAACGCTTCTCGAACTCGTGATGTGTTCCTCTCCTTTCTCGATATTTCTTTTTTTGCATGTACCTCATAAGACTGACTGAGTATCTTCTCTCCAGACTCCATGAACCTTCTTATTATTTTGATACTAACGCCGAATGATGCATGCGCTACCCGCACGGCCTCCTTAACTAAATCCTTACGATAGCTGTCTTTCCATGATGGGTCTAAGTTGTATCCCGCTTTCTGGATTGTACGCACGATGACACCTTTAACTTGTTTGTTAGATTGATTCTTTTTGTTGTATTGGAGCTCACATTTGATAATACAGTCTGTTTATATGTTTTCTTCTTCTTACCAACAGTGAGCTTATCTATCGTTGTAGGTGCGTTTTGTGTCAATTCGTCTGGCTCTGTCTGTCTGTTATTAGTGAAACCAGACTACCACATGTCATCCGGTGAATGGCATTTATCTGTAGACAGGCAGTAACCGATTGAGTTTGAGCCATACCCCTCACCAAGATGCACGCCACAAAAGGCATGCATACTTCGATCGCAACCAGCACATTTATATACACCACCCACTGGGTGCGTTGTAGTGCATCCTTTCGCACAACAGCGTTCACCACTAGAAGTGTCTGCCATCAGGATCTAGTGTAGTACGTACTCTAGTGTATGTATTATAGATAAAGCTACCGTCAAAAGCTGAGGTGAAAGGAAACCTGCAATTCAATGTATATGTACAAGACAGTTAAATTTCTGTTGTTATTAGACCACAAAATGGGGTATTAAAGTACACACTCAAGAGCAAACGATCATTATCCATACGTTGGCCAGGATAAATGCGTGCAGCTGATTGAGTCATAATTACATGTACGCAGCCACTCACATTGGCAAACAAATGCCACACATACTCTCGTAAAGATGTATACGATGTTGTGGTAACAGATAGGCACACATCCCATACTTACATTTATAGGCATAAAAACATTCAGAACACCACATTGACCGCCCAATCAATGCAGCTCGTATAGACCTTCTCCATACAAATATGATTGGAAATAGCATTGTACAGCGCTGTATCCCAGATTAGAAGCACAAGAAAACTGACCATTAAAAAACAAATGTGCAGTAAAAGCGAAGTAGCTATGAGCCAAAATATGTTACAAATACAGCTCGTGAGATACGGCTTATTAAAGTGACTATTGTAGCTAAATCAAACATGACGTCTGTAAAGAGTTTGCGCGTAG